GGAGAGGGAGAGGGAGAGGGAGAGGGAGGGGGAGAGGGAGAGGGAAGAAGAGGGAGTGCGTGTGCGTGTGTGTATGTGAGTGTGTGGTTGAATGCCAATTGTGTTGGCATGCACAAACGTCGAGACCCCTATTTACGCTCGCAGATCTTCATGCGCATACCCACAGGTCCCTGTAAAAGGCGTTTGTGCATGTGTGCTCACGAAGGACACGTGCAGGCATCAGCTGCACAGTCCCAGCTATGAATCCCAACCTTGACTCCGCCCCAGCGCCCCCACCTTGAGCTTCTCTGCTGCGCCCTTTGCCTTGAGCAGGCCCAGCATGTGGGCGGCAGCGCGCGGCTCTTTGCAGAGCGCCTGGGCAGCGAGGAGCGGGGAGGGAGAGGTGTGGGCCGAAGCAACCAGCCAAGGCATGATTTGTGCCGTGGGCAATTTTTGGGACGTCCACCCCCAAGAGGATGGGCAACCGGGCGCCAGCCAGGCCTGCAGCCTCATGTCGAGGCGCCCTCCCCCCCCATCGGACTCCCCCAGTGCATATCTGCCGCCTCGGCCTCACCCAGCCCCCGCGCACCTTGAGGTCACGCGGCAGCCCCTCCCCGGCGGCCCAGGCCCCAAACTTCTTCTCGTCCGGCACCACCACCGCCACGAGCGTCGACTCAAAGCTGTTGCCATACACCCAGACCTGGGAGGGCCGCACGGGTGCGAGGTGTGGCAAGCGCCGCGCCACCAGGTCTGTTCGATGGGGCTTGGACTGCCTGTTGCACACAGGCCTACAGCAGCATGCCGAGCCGCAGCCACTTCGTCGCCTCCAGCATGCCATCTTTAAAGGGCGACGGCCCCCTTGCAAAACCGCGTGCTGCCCCGCTTTGTGCCACGCTGGAGGTTGCAACAGGTGGCGGCGGCAGCCCCACCTGCTCTATGAGCGCCGTGCCCTTGTACACGTTCTCCAGCTTTTCCACCGCCACGTACTCCCCCTGAGACAGCTTGAAGATGTTCTTCTTCCTGGGGGGGGCGGGGTCGCATTTGCTGCAGGGCGTCGCATCGCGCTGCATGGCCTCACGATGCGCAAGGCCGCACGGCCGAAAGGCATCAAGGACGGATGCGTCTGCCCGACTCGTGCGTCCGCATGGCGTGCTGATGGACAGCAGGCATATCTTGAACAGTTGCTGTTGTTCGGCTTTGCACCAACGGCGTGCAAGCCGCGGTTTGGTTTATGATATTCCCACCTGTCTATGATCCTCAGTGTGCCGCGGCCCACGATCTCGCCGATGTCGCCGGTGTGGAAGAACCCGTCGGCGTCTGGGGGGCAGGGACACATGCGATGCAGCGAAAGTGGCTGTCGCGGTGCGGCACCGCGTGGTTGGATGCGGAGCCCCGCTCGCAGTGCAAGGTGGCCCAGCAGCCAATGAGCCGGCCGCGTCGCTGCTTGCATACGCCAGATTCTTCCAAGAATGCACACACACACACACACACGCGCGCACACACACACACACACACACACACACGCGCGCACACACACACACACACACACACACTCTCTCTCTCTCTCTCTCGCCCTCGCACTCTCAAACGTCCCACATCAAACACATGCACACCCTTGAGCGTCCCAGCCACCCCCGTGCCGCCCACCCATGCACTCGTCAGTGAGCCCCTGCTCCTTGTAGTAGCCGCTGAACAGCGTGGGGCCGCGGATGCACACCTCCCCGCGCGGCGGGTGCGCCGTGGGGTCGTAGCCCATCTCAGGGACGGCCTCCAGGCGCAGCTGGGTTTGGGGAATATTGGGGGCCCAGGGCGGCGCTTACTCAGAAAAGTAAGATCTTCAAACTGATGGCGTTCTCCTTCAAAACACAATGATGTGAAAAATTTCAGATGTCTTGAACCTGGGCGGCGACTGGATTCGCTCCTTCGCCTCCACATGATATCCTCCGACAGAGGCTGCGCAGGGTCCAGCGCTGCCTCTACACCCCCACATGCGCACCTCCACGCCGGGCAGCGGGCCGCCGACGGTGCCGTTGGCCTCCCAGCGGAAGGGCTCCGCGATGCAGGACGCCGCGCATGTCTCCGTCAGGCCGTAGCCCTGAGACGCGCAGGAAGAGGTCCAGGGGATGGGACCAGAAAGCGGGGAAGATATGCCAACTAATCGAGCCGAGCTTGCAAGCGCGCATGGATGATCTGCTCAACTCGGACCCGCCTGCAACACGCGGGATCTCCCCTGGCACGACATGGCTTGGGTTTCTATGGGGCGTCCTGCGCACCTGCAGCACCGGCGCGCACATGGAGACTGCCAGGAACTCCTGCACTGGCGACGCCAGGGGGGCGGCGCCGCTGAGAATGAGGCGCACGCGGCCGCCCAGCTTCTGCTTGATGTTGTTGAACACCAGCAGGTCTGCCAGCGGGGAGGCCTGCGTTGGACGCACCAGGGTACGGATGCAAGCACGCCATTGTGTAGGTGGGCACGGATGGGGTGAACAGGGATTCGCTGCAGCTGTTGTCAGGGGGGCGCATGCCAACCCAACGGCGAGGGATAGGTTTGGCCCGGCACTTGATACTGCAACCAGCACCTCGTGAAAGCCGGCCAGTCGCTCCCTCGTTTGAAGGTACGAGCCCATCACGCCAAGGCGTCACGCGGCGGCAGGCGCACGGGGACAGAAACGTTCTGGTCTGCCGCCTCAAACACTGTCATTTCTGCTTGCTCTCCGCCGCCGCGGCGCCGCACCTTGTCGTGCTTCCAGCCCGCCACCATGTACGCCCGCTTCCGCGCCATGCACAGCCAGAACATCACGCGCTTGAACCAGTTGGCCGCCAGCTGGTCGTTGATGCCGGCGTAGATGCGGTCAAACACGCGGGGCACGCCGCAGAACAGGGTGGGGCGGCAGGCGCCTATGTCTGCGAGGACCTTGGGTATCTCGCCCTGCCAATAGCCCACGCAGCCGCAGTTTGCGAGCATGAATTCTTCGACCACCCTGGGGACGCGCGCGCGCGCGTGTGTGTGTGTGTGTGTGTGAGAGAGAGAGAGAGTGTGTGTGTGTCTGTGAGTGTGCGTGAGTGGATGTGTGTGTGCGCGCGAATGTGTGTGCGTGCGTGCATGTGTGAGGGCATGCGTATTCATGTGAAGCAGTGTTTTGATGACTTTGGTTGCTCAATCAGGAGTGCGGCGTGCTTGTGGGGAGCTCAAAGACTGGTGTGAACTGTGTGCACTTGTCAAGCAGAAGATCTGCGTGATGACGTCACGAGGGTGATCCGGCCATCCCCTCACTGCCCCCTCAACCTGGACAGCCGCCCATCATCAGCCGCATCCCCCCAGATACACATACACACACACAGACACACTCACACACCTGTCAAACACGTGGGCGAGGGGCAGGAATGAGAAGTAGCAGTCCCCCTCCTTGATCTCCTCGTCGTAGTTGTGCAGGTACGCCTGGCACGCCGCGATTGCCGCCACAATGGCGCGGTGCGTCAGCAGCACGCCCTTGGGGTCGCCTGGGCAAGACAGGGGCCGCGAAGCAGGCGGGCCGCGCATGCGGTGTTGAGTTGAAGTCAAGATGCGCCGCGGCCGCGCAGCGCCCGCTGCCCGTATTGCGGCACTGCTGGACAATTGCACCCCGCCTCTGACCATCACAGCCGCCGCCGCCTGCCCGGGCGCGCTCCGCGCCCAGGGCGTCTGCGCCGCCTCCTCCTCAAACACCACTGGGAGCGCGTTACGACCTCGGGGCTCCCTGGCGGCCCTCAGCTGCCCTGCTTTGCCTCCGGCGGCACGCACCCGTGGTGCCGCTCGTGTACATGATGGTGGAGATGTCCTCGGGCTCCGGCGGCTCCGGCGCCGCCGTTCGCCGCGACGCCCCCAGGTCTGCCAGGGCGTCAAACGACAGCACCTCAGCGCCGGTGGCGCCCGCGGCCTGTGGCGGCGCGTGCATGGGCGCACGGCGCAGCAGCCGTAGGTCGCCTGGCAAGCGTTCCGTATGATCACGGCTGCTCCGTTGGCCAATGCACAGGAGGCCGATGCAGCCCAGTTCAGCGTGATTCGAGGCGCAAAGTCCCTTGCTCGCCAGCTGCTGGGTAGACACAAACGCGCGCGCACACACAAACGCGCGCGCACACACACACACACACACACACACACACACACATACACACTCGTCGCCCCTTCCACAGAAGACCACTGCCACCACCGCAGCGCACCTCGATGTCCGCCTGGCTCTCGCCGCCGCCAAAGTGCACCACCGCAGCGACGCTCGCCCCACCCGCCGCAGCAAGCGCCTTTGCGACGCGCCCAAGGCGCTTGCCGTTGGCGAACACGACACGTGCCTCTGAGTGGCCCAGGATGTACTCTATTGAATCCTCGCCCAGGGTCTCATACAGCGGGACACACACCAGGTTGCTGCGGTTGCATGCCTGGCATGCCGGCCAGGGCGGGCGCAGACGGAGGAAGGGTAGGGGAGGTGGCTATGCGGCTGGCCATGGCCACCGCGGATGCTCTGCCACAGATGCCAGCCGTGAGGTCAGGGGCGAGGCGCATGCCCGCGCAGCCGGCTGCATGCAGGCGGGCCGCATGCGGGCGTGCCGCATGCGTGCACATGCGTGCGCATGCGAGCTGCGCCCCGGTCCCGACGCGCGGCAAATGCGACCGCGCTGCGCACCTGCATGGCGATCATCCAGTCAGGGCAGTTAACCGACAGCACAGCCACCTTGTCGCGCGCCCTGAGGCCGAGCGCCTTGAGGCCCGTCGCGATCTTGGCTACGCGCGCCGTAACCTCCGCGAATGTCTGGTACTCATAGGGCTGCGCGACGCCCTTGATGATGGGGCGGCGCCCGAGGCAAGGCACGTCGGGGCTGCGCTGGGCTGCCGAGCTGCGGGCGGGGTGCGCGAGACCACACAGGCGCGCGGCTGGGTCAGCCAGCTCCGAGCAGCCGCCGATGCAGAGCGAGTTTGTCCTTCAATGGGACTGCTGACTATGAGAAGGAGCGTGCCCGACGTGTGCGCCACCGCACGCATGTATGGCGCGATTCATGGGTCCGTAAAACGCAGCAGCTGCTGCCGCGTCCCCAACGCCCTGCCACTCGCCCCTGCAGTTACCTGAACAGCTCGTAGAGTGTGCTGCCGTGAGGCATGGATGGTTTGGCACCACCCCCCACGCTGGATGTGTAGGTGGGGCCCGCAGCAGGCCGCGATTTGGTCCCTGGCCGCGGCCCTTGCACCGCCGTTAACAGCGGGTAGCTCTCTCCCGCCATCTCTGCCGCGGCGTTTTGCTGAGATGATCGGTTGCTGCTGAGGGTGCCGCCAGGAGATAGCCACCCCTCAGCTACTTCGCACCACTGCGGTGGCGAGGCTCCAGCCGCAGCGCCAACTGCAAGGAGGACGACGCTTGCTGCGCGTCGGATGGGGGCCGACCCAGCACTCTGCTCCACTCAGACCAACGCAATGCTGATGTTTCTATGCCCCGGTTTTGCGGCGCAGGGCTATATGTCACCCCTAGGAGGACAGCTGCTTCGAGCGGATGCACCGATGGGGCAGACCGCGCGAACCCTAGATGATCGCACAAAAAGGTGAAGAGCTCAATAAGCAGAGCTGTTCGAACGTCTTCTCAAGTGGGTTCACGGCATAGCCAGGTCGGTGACACGGCCTGCTGCCCCACCAATCGGAAGGAAGCGGGGCGGACCCTGCCAGGTCTCCCATTTGATGCCAGGAGCCGCGATCAGATATCTTGCCACACATCTACGTCACCTTCACACCCTTTCAGCAGCCTCCCCTGTTGAACCCCACCGCGGATCTCCCACCGCTCCACAGCAGCCCGACACGATGCTGGCCACCAAGTCCGTCTCTGCCGTTCGCCCCGTGGCCGCCAGCCGCTCTCTGGCTGTGCGCCCGGTGGCCAAGGCCCAGGCTAGCAAAGCGACCCTCGCTGCCGCGGCCGCTGTTGTGGCTCTGAGCGCGGCCCACCCGGTGCGTTGGACCTGGATAAGCGATGCATTTGAAGGGAGGAGGCGTCCTGTGGGGTGGGAGGGCAGCCCGGCTGTGCGCGGCAGCCTCGTGCCCGACGATCTCGCATGCCCAACAAAGGGCGTGGGATGTACATGTGGGGCAAGGTGGTGGTGGGATTGATGCACATTGGCTTGGTGACAGTCCGATGATGCCACGGCAGCCTTGAGGCCATGTTTTGGCTGCTGACGCACCCTGCAGAAGCGATCTGCGCAAGCGCATGTCAGGGGTTCAGCTGCACGCACTTCTGCAGCGACAGCAGCAGTAGCAGCGGCTGCAGCCGCTGCTGATGCAGCAGCAGAGGCAGCAGCCACGCGCTCGCCTCACACGACACTGGATCTTGGTCAGCAGTGGTATGCCTGCCTGTGCTCAGGCCACCAATGGCCCGACTGATCTGTTAGCGCGCCGCTGCCGCCCGCAGGCCGAGGCCCAGCAGCTGGTGGCCACCGTGGCCTCCGCCGCCGAGGGCTACCCCTTCGTGCCCCCGGAGTACCTGCCCTCCGTGCTGGTGCCCACCGTGGGCCTCATCGTGCCCGCCATCGCCATGGCTTGGGTGAGGACGCTAGCGGGGACAAGCGGCGGTGCGGAGGTGGAAGCGCAAGCGCACTGCAGCCACAGCACTCACACAGTGGCGCGTTGCCCGGTTTGCATGGAAGCCATGCATGGCAGTTGTGTGGAGTGGCGGGACAGACTGCCCGCGCCACTTCCTTGTGCTGACGGCACCTGACTGGCCCCCTCTCAACCTGCTGCCCGCCCCAGGCCTTCTCTTGGATCGAGAAGGAGAAGAGCGCTTGAGCGTTTGCAGTATGCTACTTTTTGTTGACTTCTCGCGCGCTGTGGCTGTGTTAATGGTGTCCCGTTAGTGCCGCTAGGCCGGCACCGCGGCTCGCGCAGGGTGCGGCGCAGGCCACATGTAACAGCATCCTGACCCAACCTGACCGACAGCACAGTTCCAAGGGGAGGAGTTGGAGGCTGCGGGGCCTAAGAATTGGTCGATGCAGCGTGCGCTGCGCTAGCAGTCGTGATGGCACATTGGACCTGGCCACATGCTTATGTGGGAGACCGGTCTATTGCCGCCGTTGCTGCTGTGACAGTTCGTTGCAGAAGACGGCTTGAATGTGGGGCTAGAGCACAATTGACACCAGGCATGTGACCGCGCAAAATGGATCCACGTCTGGGGAACCATTACTTAGACTGCAGAAAAGCCAACAGCACATACATTACTTAGACTGCAGACAAGCCAACAGCACATGCATTCAACAAAAGGGCTGAGTAGGCCATTGTGCTGCCCCGGCAAGCTTGGCAAGCCTGCAGTCCCAATACTTGACTTGCACGCTTGAAAGAAGCTGGGCAAGCCAAGCCTGAATTGTGGACCACTCAAGGCAAGACGATTGACCGGGCCCAACAGCACGGTATCGTGCCTGCAAGCGTAAACTAGCGCAAACAGCGCTTCGTAGAATCATGAACCACAGCAACAACGACTGGGTGGTGAACAGCTTGGCTGCGGCCACCCCTTCCCGGGACACGACGCACACCATGCCGACACACGCTTGCGGTGGCGACATGGAGCAGCCATGACATAAGCCATGTGTATCTGTAGATAACAATACATACACGATATTCATCAACTGCCGCCCCAAAGCGCGTTGGTTCAAGCATGTTTTCGACCTGACCCGCCTCCCCGCTTGCCACGGGCCCACCAGCGAGTCCATTGTATCTGACCCGAGCATCCAACCTCGCAATACACGCGCTTAATTTTGTGAACAAAGGCTCAGCAGGATGCAGAGCCTCTCTTCGGCCCGGAGGGCCGCGCCCTTCAGCGGTGCCAGGACGTCTGCTGCAGCTCCCCGGCCATGCCTGGGCCTTTCGCTGAGCAAGCGGGCTTCTATGCAGCAGCAGCAGCGCGCGGCGGTCACCGACGCGTCCCTGGCTGATATCGCCGACCTGGAGAACAGGTCCACGGGCGAGGAGGCGGACTCCGTGGGCGGCCTGCCCGTCCTGCCAAGCGACCAGGTAGGATTCACATCAATGGAGCTTGCTGCGTCACGCAGATCGCTCCAGCACTCGGGAGCCATTCGCAGCCATGCACCGCCTTGAAGGATGGGACAGCCCGCTGCAGCAATTGCATGAAGGCAATGCACAGTTGACAATGAGATTGGGCGTGGCCACAGAGGGTGCATATGCACCGTGCGGCGGTAGTGGTGGCGCGGCACGTGCGGCTGGCGCGCGATGGCAGCGGCGGCAGTGTGGCACCGGGGGCACGAAAACGCACAGCTCCCCAGCATGCCTCACCCGGTCTGTCCCTGCCATGCCTTTTTGCAGGTCAAGCTGCGCGTGCGCATGCGCGGCTACGACATCCGCATCCTGCGCGATGCGTCGGACCAGATCGTCCAGATCGGGCAGCTGACCGGCGCCAAGGTCTCGGGCCCCGTCAACCTGCCCACCAAGAAGAAGGTGTACTGTGTGCTGCGCTCCCCCCACGTCAACAAGGACGCCCGTGAGCACTTTGAGGTGCGCACCCACCACCGCTTGATCGACCTCAGCAACCTGTCGGCGCAGACGGTGGAGGCGCTCATGGAGTGGGTGCCCCCGGCGGGCCTCGAGGTGGAGACCAGCATCGTCTGAGCGGCGCCTGCAAGCGCGCGGCGGCGGCGGTGGCGGCGGCGGCGGCGGCGGCTGCGACGGCAGCCGAAAGTGGCGGCAAGGGCTTGGCGCGGCCGCGGCGCAGCAGGAGCAGCAGCGGCGGCGGCGGGGGGCGGTGCATGCCGCGCCCGTCGATCAAAGTGCAGCAGCGGGTGGGATGACGTAGCGTCGGGATTGTGCAGCGCGGCTCGTTGCCCGCCATTGTTCATTGGGCGCGAGCTCGCCCAGCAATGGCAGCGGAGGCGGCGGCGGCTGCGGCTGCTTGGCGGCAACCTGACTTGGGTGCGCGACGGGCCCGGCAGCGCAGGGGCGCGCCGGCGTCAAGCGCGTTGCGCCTCGGCTTAGCGAGGGTTGGCACAATTGTAACCGACCTCCACTCCTCGCGCTGCGCATGGCTGATACGTCAGTGTGGGGATCACAAGGCGTAGTGACATGCTGTTCCTTTACAGATGCATGCGTTGAGCGCTCACACATCGTTTGTTGCGAAACAAGACAGCAAAACAGACAACGCGTCATCAAGACGGAAGCAAGCCAAGCAAGCAGGCAGGCGTGCGGAGCGTTGCCCTCACAGCGCTCCAGGACAGGTCCCAACGGCTAGCGCATCTGCACGCGTGTCATACCATCACGCCACCTGCCGCGCCAGCGAGCCCGGCGTGCCCAGGCTACCAAAGCCGCCCCAGCTGGCGGGGCTGCCGAAAAGGGCGTCGGAGGCCCGCGGGCCGCTGTTGAGCAGCCCCACCAGATCAGGGCTCTCCATGGTCCCCGTCAGCCCCCAGCCGGGGCTGGCTGCTGCGGCGGCGACGCCCGGAGTTGGCAGGGTGGGCGGCGACAATGACGTGACCCGCTGCTGCCGGAGCTGCTGCAGCTGCTGCTGCTGCTGCTGCTGCTGCTGCTGCTGCTGCTGCTGCTGCTGCTGCTGCTGCTGCTGTTGCAATTGCAGGTGTGCAACCTGCTGAGCCGCCTGCGACTGCGGCGACGCCTGCGCCCCAGCCTCGAGGGACATCTCGAAGCGGGCGGCACTAGGGGTGGTGGCGTCCGCCGCGCCACCCGCAGTGCCCGCTGACTCCGCAGGCCCTGGGCTGGCGCTCGGCCCAGCCCCAGCTGCACCGGGCTCGCCCTTGCCACGCGGCGATGCCCGCTTGCC